GCAGAGGATGAGGTTTGAGTGATTACACGGGCTGCTGAGTTCTGAACCATCTGTAGTTTGTGAAGGGATTTGTTGGGGAGGCCAAACAGTAGGGAGTTGCAGTAGTCAATCCTGGATGTTACCAGGCTGTGTACAAGGTTGGCAGTGGAGCAGGGAGTGAGTGAAGGACGGAGACATTTAATGTTGTGAAGATGAAAGTAGGCAGATCGAGTCATGTTGTTAATGTGGGATGTGAAAGAGAGTGTGGTGTCAAGGATGACACAGAGGTTGTTGACCTGAGGCGAGGGGGAAAGAACAGAGTTGTTAAAGAGTGAAGAGAAGATGCTGGGATTTTGAAATGGAGTTTTGAAATGGAGTTTTTTTGTACCAACAAGGAGGAGTTCAGTTTTGTTATGGTTTAGTTTGAGGAAATTATTGGAGAACCAGTTGTTGAGCTCACTGAGGCAGTCAGTAAGAGTGGAGGATGATAAGGTGGAGTTCGGTTTTGTCGAAATGTATAGTTGAGTGTCGTCGGCATAAGAGTGGAAATGAACACCAAATTTATGGAAGATGTGGCCAAGCGGGAGCAGAAAGATTATGAAAAGTAGAGTCCCGAGTACAGAACCTTGGGGAACACCAGTGGAAATGGGTGAAGACTGGGAGCGGAAGGACTTGAGCTGTATGAACTGAGTGCGGTATTTGTGAATTATTCAAGAACCAGTTTCAAACTAAAGCGTCTCGTCACGTCTCACCTGTGAAATAAACTCTTTATGATTCATTAACAATGTTGAGTCTTTTAAAAACATTTTTCTGTTTGCTTTTATCTGTGTTCTTACATCTTTCCTGTCTGTGTACAGTTTTTATTGTGTTGCATAATGAAGCAGTTTGTGATTTATATGTGTAAAAGGTGGTAAATGAATAAAGCAGAACATCTTCTTTCCTGTTCTGTTAGCAGCAGAACCTCTGAGAGAGGCCAAGACTCTGACTTTCGCTCGAGCTCAGTCTGCCGTCTTCTTCCTGAACAAGCTGAAACACAACTCTCTGCTGAGACACCGGGTACGTTGGCTGAGTCCTGACCTTTGTGTTCACACACAAATGGTTGATAAAATATGTTTGTGGTTTTTATGCTGTCAAAGTTTTTAGACTGATTGTTCTTTGTTTCTGCAGGAGAAGTTGGCCTCTGGGAAACAAAGCACCAAAACAGAGAGAAGAATGGGAGATGAGGAATCTGTGAGTTTGAATATTCATCACTGTTATTCACTAGTTCAACAAATGTTATTAATGTTCTTTACAAAAATGCTGTCATATTTATTACAAGAACCTCACTTTAAACATGTTCAGAAAACGTGCACAAATTTTCTCAGAAAAGTTGCTCTTCTCTGACAAAAACATGACAAAGTCTAAAAACTATGCTGATTGTAAATAATAATTATTTAGAAAGTGGGTCCAGATCTACCTGTATTCATTTAAAAAATATATTCCAGCAAATGAATTCTGTAATTCTGTCATTTCCCTTTGGGTCAATAAAGTATTTTGAATTGAATTCAAATGAAATCATAAATGTTGGAGTGGCAGCTCTAAAACGACAGCAGTAACATATATGACCCTCGCACAGACGCAAAGCACCAACACACCAGAACTCACAAGTCACCAGTTGGGATTTATTGTATTGGGTGGGGAT